GTTTCTTTCATTACCTCTCTCTGTCTCCCTTACCCTTCGTTCTCATTTTCCCTTCCCCCTCCCTCATCCGTCTCCCTCTAGCTATCCCTCCCCCTTCTCCTTCCTATCCGCTCGCCCTCTTCACTTTTCTATCCCCTTAGCCCTTCCCTCTTCTCCTTGCCCTTCCCTCTCTCTCTTTCTCTTCTCCTTCTCTCTCACCATCCCCCTTCCTCTCCTCCTCCCCCTCCCTCTCCCTCAGCCTTTGCCCTCCTTCCCCTCTCCCTTTACGCCCTCCCTTCACCCTCACCCCCCTCCCTCCCTCCCTCACCTCACCCCCTCCCTTCCCCCCTCCTTCCCTCGCCCTCTCCTTACCCACCCTCACCCCTCCCTCACCCCCCTCACCCTCCCCTCACCCATAACATCCAAACACACATACATATGAGCTTAGCGTTCAACAATGCCCCCGCTGCCGCCCACATAGTGTCACGTACCCACGCCCGCGACCACGACCACCCACCCCTCGCCCGCCTGCTTTCCTTGAGAGGGGGGGGGAGGGGAGGGGAGGAGGGGTATTTTAAACTAGTGCTGGGCATTCTTAGCAAATTTTGGGTTCGTAGATGTCTTATGTATGTAATATGCGTGCGTATGGATGTATGTGTGTGTGTGTTTGTGTGTTGGTGTATTGTGTTGTGTGGATGTGTGTTGTGTTGTGTGTGTGTGTATGTGTGTGTGTGTATGTAAATGTGTTGTGTGTGTTTTGTTGTGTTGTGTTGTGCGTTTGTGGTGTGTGTGTTCATGTAAATGTGTGTATGATTGTACTGCTTCAGTCACATTTACAACACAGTAAACAGAAGAACACAGAGACACACACACATCTTTACACATTTCCCGGAAAGGGTTAAAATCCCGCAGATTTATCCGTTTCCATCTCTCCGACAAACCGAACACAGATCACCGGAGTTTCTCTCTTGGAATATTGGAATAAAAGTGGTTTCGATATCGGGTCTCTCTCCCCCCCCTCTATGAGACCACCCACCCCCCCTACCCCACTCTGAGACCACCCACACCCCCTACCCCCGATTCTGAGACTACCCCCTACCCTCCTACCCCTACTCTGAGACCCCCCCACCCCTTCCCCACTCTCCCCCCCACCCCTAACCCCGATTCTGAGACTACCTCCTACCCCCTACCCCCTACTCCTCCCACCCCTTCCCCCCACTCTGAGCCCCACCCCACCCCCAACTCGAGACACCCCTCCCCCACTCTGAGACCCCCCTACCCACCCACCCCCACCAGCAGGCCTGATCACAGCACTGGGGTGTCAATATCAATTATTCAAGTCGAAGGAGGAACATTATGTGGTTTGATCTCGGGTCTTGGGGTTGTTCTTGGTCGGTGTGTGTGTGTTGTGTGGTCGGGTGTCGGGATGTTTTTTTTTCGGGTGTGCGGGGTTGTGGGTGGGTGTTCGGGGGTTGGGGGTGTTCCGGGGTTGTGTGGGGTTGTCGGGGTGTTTTTTTTCGGGGGGGGGGGGTTGTGGGTGGGTTGTTCGGGGTTGTGGGTGGCTGTCGGGGTGTTTTCGGGTGTTTGGGGTTGTAGGTGGGTGTCGGAGTTGTGGGTGGGTGTCGGGGTGTGGGATGGTGCCGGGGTTGTTGGGTGCCGTGTCGGGGTTGGGGTTGTGGGTGTCGGGGTTTGTGGGGGTGGGGTTGTGGGGGGTCGGGTGTTTTCGGGTGTGCAGGTTGTGGTCGGGAGTCAGGACAGTGGTCGGATTACTGATTAACATTATCATTACTGCCTAGGCCTACAAGTTTCCTCGAGGCCAAATGTTTTAATGAGATAATTTTCTTTGTTTTGTTGTTGTTTGGACTTGCTTCGTCTGGCATAGTTGCGTAGAGTTCAGCAGGATACTAGGGAGAAACAGCAAGAATACTTTATGGAGAAATAGTTTAGGAGAGAGAGAGAGAGAAGAGAGAAAGGGAGTAAGAAGAGAGAGAGGGAGAGAGAGAGAGAGAGAGAGAGAGAGAGAGAGAGAGAGAGAGAGAGAGAAAGAGAGAGAGGGAGGAAAGAGAGAGGAGAGAAAGGGGGAAAGAGAGAAGAGTGAAAGGGGAGAAGAGGAGAGAGAGAAAGGGAGTAAGAGAACAGAGAGAAAGGAGGAAAGAGAGAGAAAGGGAGAGAGAGAGAAAGGGAGAAAGAGAGAAGAAAAGAGAGAGGAGAGAAAGGAGGAAGAGAAAGAAAAGAGAGAGAGAAGGGGAGAAAGAGAGAGAGAATAGAGACAGAGAGAGAGAGAGAGAGAGAGAGAGAAGAGAGGAGAGACTCGGCGAGTTTTGTGAATCGAATAAGTTGAAGAGAGATGGAAAGAGAAAAGACAAACCCACACAAAACAGCGAATTCGAAGAAGAGAGATAGAAAGAGAACATAAAGACCGAGACAAACAAGCGAATCATAATGAAAGTAACGAGTTGATAAGCTGGTTAAGAACATCTACATCATGATATTCACACAAACACGTCACGAAGTCCGCCATGTTGCCAGATCACCTCACGCTAATCACTCACCCGCAACGAAATATCAGATTATCATTACCATTAACTCATATCACAAATCATATTACACTAATGTGATAAGTACACGATTAAAAAAGAAATAACGCTTTTCGATATTGCTCTCTGGGAAATTTTCGTATTTGAGAAACGTGGCATGAGTGTTTGTGACAAAAGCGTACAAATTTTTTTTTTTTTTTTTTGACGATGTATTTTTTTTCTTTTTAATCAAAGATCGGCAATTAGCGAAGCTCTTAATTGGCTGTCTGTGAGATTTTTTGCTGAGAATTTCGTTTCGTGTTTTTTGTCTTTGAGAGAAAAGAGTGATATATATATATATATATATATATATATATATATATATATATATATATATATATATAATATATATATATATATAATATATTATATATATATATATAATATATATATATATATATATATATATATATAATATTATAATATATTATATATATATATATATATATGTATATATATATATATATGTATATATATATGTATTATATATATATATATACATATATAATATATATATATATTATATATAATATATATATATATATATATATATATATATATATTATATATGTGTGTTTGTGCATATATATATATATGTATATATATAATATATATATATATATATATATATATATATATATATATATATATATATATATATATATAATATATATATATATATATATATATATATACACATTCGAGAGAGAAGGGGGAAAGCAGAGTCAAAGGGTGAGAACGACGGCGAGGGAGTTGGAAAGAGAGAGAGAGAGAGAGAGAGAGCAAGGGAGAGGCCCAGGGGAGAGGGAGAGATTGGATATGAAAACATGGAAATGAAGAGGGAGAGGAACATGGACAGGGACAGGCAGGGAGAGCCAAAGGCAGAGGAGAGAGAGAAGAGAGAGAGAGAGAGAGAGAGAGAGAGAGAGAGAGAGAGAGAGAGAGAGAGAGAGAGAGAGAGAGAGAGAGAGAGAGTCTAATGATATAATACGCAATATTCCACGGATCTCATTTGGTCCCGGTATTAATAGGCTAATAATACCATGAGTAACATTAATATGTAGAAAGAAAAGCATGACCACTCTAACGATATTTTTCACTTATCGAGCATAAAACCTCATCTTTCGTAAATATATTCCCGCAGGTGTCCCGACCAATATATCTCTTTATACGTAAGCGTATCGCAACAACAGAACGCGTAACGATAACCGGTATAAAACATTCGTTAAAATAACCCAGACGGAGCAGTGTCGCAACTCCCCCCCTTTGTCGGCAGCCATTGACCAATTTGGCGGGAAACACGCGGCGCCGAAACACAAGTGGCTCAACATGGCGGTATGTTATTTTTTTATTTTGTATTTTTTGTGGGTCCCCGTCGTCATATGTCTTGCGTTTTGGTTCCTAGTGACAAGCGGGTTTTAATGACAAGCGCTGTGTTGATAATGCGATGACTGGGCGTTAGCGATGCCGGAGATAAAAGGAGATTAAGAGAGGAGGAGAATTGCTGTTGGCTATTCACCTCCGAACCCAATGGCGCTCGAGATATGTCGAGATCTGTTACAGCGTTTTTCTTTATCGCGGCTCGGGCACTTCACACTATGTAATTACTTCTTTATTTGGTCACATGCATCACATGCGAGACCACGCACAGGCTTCTACGCTTTTCTTGTGCTGGCTTGAGTTTTAGGTTGGGTTTTATTCGAGGAAAAGTGATTTTAGTTGGATAAGGAAGGTTCATAATGATTATACTTGGAATACAGAAGATTATACGCAGAAAAACGTAAACGTAGTCAGACACACACACACACGCACACACACACACACACACACACACACACACACACACCACACACACACACACACACACACACACACAACACACACACACACACACACACACACGCACACACACACACACACACACACACACACACACACACACACACACACACACACACACACACACACCACACACACACACACACACACACACACACACACGTCACAAAGCGGGGTGTGTGGGCTTTATTTTGTGAATATTTATGCAAAACAAACACGTTTAAAATGTTGAAGCATTTTGCTAGAAGAAGAGGACTAACTTGTAAGGGAACTTTTCAAGGTTTCTTCCTTTACTTACATAAACATTTTGACATTATTTAAACATAATTGAATAGGTTAACTCAAAAAGGTGGAACTATGAAAGGTAAAAGTTTCCAAATTACTTTATTTTTGTTTTCTCTTCCTACGTAAATATTTAAGTTTTTTTTCTCTCTCTCTGCGTAGTATTTAAGTGATTTTTTATCTTTACGTAAATATTCAAGTGATATATATATTTCTTATCCCTACGTGAATATTTAAGTGTTTTTTTTTCTCTCTACGTAAGTATTTAAGTGTATTGTTAAAAATCCTTGCGTAAATATTCATGATTGTTTTTCTACCTAACGTAAGTATATACGCGATTTTTTTATTTTTTATCCCAACGTAAATATTCAATTGTTTTTTTTTTTGTTTTTATTCCTGCATAAGGATTTGATTTTTTTCCCTCCCTACATAAGTAAGTATTTTTTTTTAAATCCCAACACATCTCCCTGCATAAGTATTTAACTGATGTGATTTATTCATATATCGCAACGTCAATATTTAAATGCTTTTTTCTTCCCTTCAAAATTTACACCGCCATCAGGATAGAGTTCGAGGCCAGACAGATGCATTTACGTCGTCCTCCGCGAGAGCTCCTCCTTAAGCCCTCTGTCTAACACTCGAGGATTAGCTCGTCCTCATGACAGCGCAGTCAATGTCACAGATAATAACCCCAACTGCTCGTAAAGTCATCAGGTTTCACGCGTAATATATTCCTCAGAAGTGTGTGTGTGTGTGTGTATGTGTGTGCGTGTGTGTGTGTGTGTGTGTGTGTGTGTGTGTGTGCGTGTGTGTGTGTGTGTGTGTGTGTGTGTGTGTGTGTGTGAGTCCCTCTGCACCTCCCTCATTCCACCTCATGAAGGGAGACAGACATACGTTACTCAAGGACCTCATAGTGGCTTGACTTTAACCGGCGTCAGAGGGACCTCACACCCTCACACCCTCACACTCTTACGCACACTCATAGGGACGTGAGATTCGTGAGGCAGTTGACAACCACACACACACACACACACACACCAACTCGCTGTGGTTACTCGTTTCCGAGAATCCGAAGCGTTGTTGTCGTATCTTTAATGTTTTCTCTCCTTCTTGATGTTGTTTTGTTTTTGTTTTCTCTGTTTTATTTGCGTTTTGTTGCTAGTTATATATGCGTTGTGTGTGAGGCATAATCTCCAGTATCAAAGGCTCGTTCTCTTCTCGATGAAAAAAAAAAAAAACAAAAAACAAAAAACTTTTTAACTTGTCCATCAAACTCAAAGTTTTTTCTTCTGAACCATTTTTTGAGGGTTAGACTTTAGACTTGAGATTTTGTATCGTTACAAACAATATAATTAGCTTCCTCATTAGTATGTAAACGCGAACTCCTAATTTTATCTATTTAATCTATTGCCAGAAATATAAGAAGGGAACAAATGCTAATTTTAAAATATTAAAACCTCCCAGATTTCAAAACTTTACAACGTCCTCTGACATTCAATTTTATCATCGCCAATAAAACAGAGATATAATCTGAAACATTCCTGCTCCAAAAGAGGATTTTGGAAAGAGCATATAGAGTTCTGCCTCAGAGCAAGAATAAAATCAGAGCTTTTCCACATTTTGCAAGAGAATTCTGGTATTCGTGCGTCTTTCAGAATCCTTATCAGGAGCCCGTGACTGAAGGCGTGTTTGTGCTTATCCTGCGCCGGAATTCATTCAGAGGGAATTCCTGAATAATGCTTAATGCCGAGCTCTTTTACAGGCACGTGTCTTTCTCATATCTTTCTTCACTTTTTTTTTTTTCTTCCTTCCTCTCTCCGTCGAGATAATTTATTTTTTTCCTCTTTTGCTCTGAATGGCAACGCTTTCAACGAGTGAAACGAAACGAGTGGTTGGCGATTAATATTAAAGTCGGGCCGCTAATCTTTGGAAAAAAAAAAGAGGGACTGCCAGTGAAGCGTCGTGGACCGCGTCGGTGTCGGCTACGAGGCGACTCACACCAGCGATCTTATCTTTATGTGTCTGAGTGTATACATCTTGTCATATCGTTGTTCCTCTTTTTACCGTGCAGCTGAGAGTCCTACCGGCACCCAGCGCGGGAAATACGAGCTTTTGTTATGGTTTCCGTATCAACTCGGGACGCTTCGGTTTTGCCCGGTGGAATTCGCGAGAACGGCCAGGGTGTCGGCGGGAGAGTGAATGTGTGTTTCAGGGTAAATACAGGGTGAGCCTCATTAACTAGAAGGGGATATTGGGCATTCTAGGGTACTGAGGGCATAGTAGGTGTTGTTTGAATATCTTAGAAGGAGAAGACACTCCCATGCATAGGATAGAGAGGATATTCTTTGAAGAGCTTAGAAGGAGAAGACACTCCCATGCACAGGATAGAGAGGATTTGAAGATTTAGAAGCAGAAGACATTCCCACGCAAGGATAGAGAGGACGTTGTTTGAAGAGCTTAGAAGGAGAAATTCCCATGCAAGGATAGAGAGGATGTTCTTTGAAGAATTTAGAAGGAGAAATTCCCATGCAACGTTGTTTGAAGAGCTTAGAAGCAGAATACACTCCCATGCAAGGATAGAGAGGATATTGTTTGAAGAGCTCAGAAGCAGAAGACATTCCCACGCACAGGATAGAGAGGACGTTGTGTGAAGCTCGCAGCCGTCCAACGCACAAAGCCCGTTGACGAAGGACTCACCGACCCCGTGGAAGAATCTGTCCTCGGGTGAGCCACGGAGAAGCTGAGTCAGGAATGGGTTTCACATGGGGGCCAAGCACGAGAGATGAATAAGGCGCTTGTGAGGCGGTGAGTCACGCGGCTGAGT